GAGGGTCAATGTTTGGAACGTGTTCCTGCAGAGGGTCAATGTTTGGAACGTGTTCCTGCAGAGGGTCAATGTTTGGAACGTGTTCCTGCAGAGGGTCAATGTTTGGAACGTGTTCCTGCAGAGGGTCAATGTTTGGAACGTGTTCCTGCAGAGGGTCAGTGTTTGTTTAAGTGGAACCGTTCTTCAGAACCACAGTTTGAAGAACCCTGGTCCGACCCAACAAAATGAAGTCTTTTATTTTGTAACTTCCTGTAGGGTTCCTGAGCAGATCACTCCTCATCTCTTCAGGGTTTTCCTTTAATTCGTTGCTCGTTTGTTTGGAKGGAAACTGATCCAACAGGATTTGAGTCAGAATTAACACGTGGAACAGATTTTATGCTTCTTTCWTGTATAAATGTTCATATTTTAAACATTTTAACAACTTTAGTCAGCTTGAAGTCTGAAGTCAGAACCTCTAATTTGAGCTACATGTTTATGAAAGCTGCAGCTGAAGGAACGATTTAGATTTGAAGTGAAGGTGTGATGACTCCGGCTGCTCAAAGAGCTTCGGCTCCTTTAGTTTTTTAAGTTTTATTCAGATTTAAAGGTTTGTTTTTTTGCTGCAGTTGTGAAATGTGAAAAAAGGAATTCACCTTTAATGACGTGAAGCTAAACTATGAATCAGCCAAAGAAAAGCAGGTGGAGTTTCAGTTTGTTCTGAAAGGAAAAAGGATTAAACTCAGATTCATGTCTTTAAATGAGATTTTTAGTTCTTTAAAGCTGTTTTTTTTTTCAGTGAGTTTGGAGCTTTAACCTGACAAACAGGAAGTGAGAATAAAACCTGAGTTCACCACAGAAATCCTGCAGATCCAGAGGGTTGAGCTCAGTTTGACCACAGGTGTGTTTTTCACCTGGATCAGAAGTTTGTCGCTGAATCTTTTGGACTCTGGTTTGAGTTCTCAGAGCTCTGCAGGTGGTTCAGTTCAGGTTAAATCCTGAYTTTCAGCTTCTTTAAACTCAGAACCAGGATTAATCCTGGCTTCATCTTCTTTATGTGTTTTAGTTTGGAGAGATTTAAACAGCAGYTCAGGTTCCTGATTCATCAAACTAAGAGTGAAAACTGTTTTATGTGATGTGATGTTTGGATCAGAACCTGCAGAACCTTCAGCTGTCTTTGAATGTTCTTTCATGCAGATTCTTCAGATTATTTTGTTTCTATAGGTTTAAAAAGTGACAAAATGACTCAGTTTAAAGATCATCTCCCAAACTTTTACCTGAATCTGAACTTTTTGTTGCCAACTTGTTTCATCATCGTCAGGCCTTAACACTGTATTTTTTTTTCTTGTTTCACTTTTTGTTGCATTTCAACCTAAATCCTCACATCTCATCTTTAAAACTTAAATAGTTGTTTTAGTGTAAAGATGTGAGAAATGAAGGTTTTCTGTGCTCTCTCTCTTGTTTGAAGGAAAATGTAAGACTTTGGCACTTTGAGGTAAAGCTGGAGACGTTACAGGACCTGGGTCCTGCTGTATTATAGTATATATTGTAGTATATTTGGACCTGTACAGAAACTCACATTGTTCCGTTCCTTCGCGTTGATCTTTTAGAGAACTTCTCTCTGGTTTGCTAATAAAATCTGAACTCTGCTTCGACACCACTGTCTGCATGTGTGACCACTTTTCAACAATAAAATCACTTCCTGCTCTTGTTCTGCTGTTCTGTCCTCATTTTTGAACCGGRTCACCTGACTCACATTAACCATGAAATGATCTGGTTTTATCAGCTCTTAATGCAGAGACTAAAAATACAAGTTTTCTAGCTGAAGCTGGGTTGCCAGATAGTAAATGAAGTATTTAACTCCAGTCGGCYGGATGTGGTGATGAACTGAGTCTCAGGTGGAGGAAAGTTGGAACGAATGTTCAGTTTGAAGCAGTGACCATCTCAAAGTTTTATTTTGTCTTCAATCGCCCCTTTTTTTAATGAACCCTGCTTATTTAAAGCACTGCTGTATGGAGAGCTCTTTCATTCAAAATGAAATAATGTGAATTATTAATAAATATTCCATTAAATAAATAAATGTCCCTGTGAAATAAAACAAAATTAATAGTTATAATACATTTTAGCATGATTTTATTTATTTTATATTTTTAATTTTTTTACCTTATTTAATCATTTATGTGTTTATTTATAAAAGTTTACCTTATTTATTCATTACATATGTAGTTTTATTTTTTGACACTTTCATTTTGTAAAGCTACTTTACATATTTCAGGGACTTTTATTTTGAACTCCCTACTTATTTCATGCTGTTTTACTAAAGGGAGTTCAAAGTAAAAGTCCCTGAAATATGTAAAGTAGCTTTACAAAATCAAAGTGTCACAAAATAAAACTACACATGTAATAAATAAATAAGGTAAAATTTTATTTTCCAAATAAATGAATTAATAAGAGAGACAAGACATACTAAAAATGTATTATAACTTTATTGATTTTTTTTATTTCACAGGAACATTTATTTATTTAATGGAATATTTATGAAAAATTAATTAATTAATTTTGAATGAAAGGGCTCTCCACACCGCTGAGTGTCCCGGTGTATAAATGGAGCGCACCCTCTCTGAGCGTCACCGGAAGTCAACACAGAGCAGCTAGCCGTTAGCGCTTGTGCTAGCTGCGGTCAGTCCGCCGTGAATGGACCTGCGTCCTGTGTGGGCAGCAGCTGGGTTGTTGGACAGCGATGACTTCGCTTCATTTCCTCAGAGAGTTCATCAGCGAGCGGCTGACGGCCGCCGCTTCGGAGATCTTCGAGGTTTTTGAGAAAACCGTCGTCGGCTACGAGGAGACGATCGACCGTCAGCGGAGGCTGCTGCTGGAGGTCAGCTGGAAACCTGAAATAAAGCTGCCGCCAGCAGGTGAGCCGCTCTGGACACGTCTGGATGAATGAACACGTTAATCTGACCCAGCTGCATGGTACGGGCTGGTTCTGAACGAAGCTAATGAGCTAAAGACAGGTTAGCATGCTAACGGAGCTAACAGACTCCCATTAAAACAATTGGCAGAAAAACGAAAGGCTTTTAGGACACAAAAATGTCACAACTTTCTTAAAATTCAACATGTTTTAATGAAATTTGTACTGTTGACTTCCTTTTTCAAATATCTATTAAAATCACAATAGATCTGATTTAAATGCTTTCATTTTTTTTTGTCACATGCCTACAGAGGAATGTGCTGTGTGAGCACAATCTGTGGGACAAACTGGACAAAAACACACAAAACAAAAATCTGTTTTTATAAACTCATCTATTTACAGCTCAGACAGCTCTGGTAGCATTTTATTTTCAGCTAAAGCTACATAAATGGTTTAAAAATACAGTGAATAATGATGCAGAATATAAAATTAGCTGTTATCATGGCTTTAAATGGTTCAGATGTTACCAAAACGTTATTAGTTAAAACAACACAAAGTAAGAATTAGTTTTAATTAGCAAAAATATTATAAATGAATAATAACAGACTGAGTCAGTAACTGTCCTCATCCTGAGGTAAACTTTGGTTTAATCTGCAGGAGGATAATTACAAATTAAGAGTCTGTTAGTGTAAAATCAGCATTAAAAGTTCCTATAAAAGAGGTAAAATTAACTTATTTATGTCCTTCTGAGGAAGCAGGATGTGTTGCTATTTTTATTAGCAGTGATGTAAAAACATTTTCAGAGATTTGATGGTCTGCAGGCATAAAATAGTTKGTCTAAACCAGGGGTCTGCAAGCTGTGGCTCTGGGGCCACATGTGGCTCTTTGAAAATGWGACCAAATATAACAGAATTGTTTTTGTCTGTTTTTTATACTCCCAACAGAAATTAATTTGTATACAAAAACGTGATCAATACTACTAATACAAAAAGTAAAACATGTTAGCTTACGCTAGCTTGTTGTTTACTTAAATWATCCAACTTCTTTCCCTCGAATCCATTAAAATTACCTTGAAAGAATTTGAGGACTACATAGTAATAAGAATTAGAAACAAATATACCTGAATAGTTCAGTTGTACTAGTTTTTATGAAACTCAGGATAAACTATATATGGTATTTTTTTCTTGTTTACATGAATCTGGTCTTTTCATTTGTCCTGATGTGTCAAAATAATAATAAAATTCACAATTAATTTTTTAGATTTATGATGTCACCTCCACTGGCCGTAAAGGTGCCCAAAAAGTCCATATAAAGGCCCACGGTCCACCAGTTGGTAATCACAGTTGTAGCTTGTTTTGTGGCTCTGGACACATTTTTATTAGTGAGCCAAGGAGCACAAATGGCTCTTTTTATCGTAAAGGTTGCAGACCCCTGGTCTAAACTGTGAGTTTAATTAAGAAAAACGATCAGCAATAAAGAGCTCTGCTAATAAAAGCATCCAAACCTCAGAATTAGTAGTTTTTACACGAGTCAGGAGCTGTTGTTATTTTAAAACTTCTCTTTTTTAGTGTTTAATTCCTGTTTTACTTTCAGAGCCTCAGCAGAAACTCGTCGGTCAGAAAAAGAAAGAGGTTCCCGCCGAGCAGCAGCTCTGCAGCCAGGAGGGGAACCTCCGCCTGGACCAGGAGGAACCAGAACCTCCGCAGATTAAAAAGGAGCAGGAGGAACCAGAACCTCCGCAGATCAAAGAGGAGCAGGAGGAGCTCCGCAGCAGTCGGGACACAGAGCAGCTGGTGCTGAAGGAGGAGGAGGAGGCCTTCGTCGTGACTCTTAGCGATGAAGAAAGTGAAGCGGAGTCGAAGYGCGATCAGCTCCGAGTTCAGACAGCGAGGCAGGATCTGGACTTTGAATCGACGAGCAAAGTGGAGCTGATGGCAAAGAGGGGAAAGAGGAGGAGTCATAAAATCCCCAGAAATGTAATCAGTGAGGATCTGTCTCCTCTGTCGGACAGTGAGAGTGACTCAGAGAGGAGAAAAGTTTACGTAAAATGTGGCGTTTGTGGAAAAATCTTTAAGAACAAGTACCACCTGAAGATGCACCACAGAACCCACACCGGTGTGAAGCCGTACGCTTGCAATGACTGTGGGAAGAGGTTCAACGACTCCTCTACGCTGAAATATCACATGAGGACGCACACGGGCGAGAAACCCTTCTCCTGTGAGACGTGCGGGAAAAAATTCMGATGTAGCTACAGCGTGTTGGTCCACATGAGAACTCACACGGGAGAGAAACCGTACCCATGCAACACGTGCGGGAAAAGATTCACCAACTTGTCCGCATTCAAGTGGCACACGGCGATTCACACGGGCGAGAAACGCTACTCCTGCAAAATCTGCGGGAAAAGTTTCACCCAGAACGGCAACCTGACGGCCCACATGGGGACTCACACGGGGGAGAAGCGCCACGTCTGCAAAATCTGCGAGAAGAGCTTCAGCCGGAGCAGCAACCTGCTCGTCCACATGAGGAACCACACGGGGGAGAAACCGTACCCCTGCAAGACGTGCGGGGAAAGGTTCAAGTATGCGGCGATGCTTAAAAAACACCTAAAAACTCACGAAGGAGGCGAGACTTCCCCCTGCCAGACCTGCGGGAGAGGTCCCACCTGTCAGGAGGGCTCGACGGGCCAACACCAAGCTGACGAGTGTCAACCTGAAACATCTGCGGGAAGAAACATCTGTGTGGAAAAGGTCGAAGGCGTAATTGAATGAAGAGACAGAAGATGTGTGACGCTGCATGTTGAAACAATCTGATCAGATTAAAGAACAAAACATTTCTTTGGAATGGGGGGGCGGGGCAAATCTGTAATAATTTTGCAGCTTTTATTTCTCCAAGCAGACTGATGGTTTAGTACAGTTTCCATTTAGTTACTGTGTGTTTTCTGTTAAAGAAGTTACTCAGAGGAGACACAGTGAGTCTTATGGAAGGACTTCAGAGCTGTGGTATGAACCCCCCCACCCCCCTCTACACACACACACACAAGTTAAACTCTTATCTACGCACTCAACTACAAAACAGCAGCACCTGACTTGTGGGTTAAATGGTTGAAATCAGACTCGTTTTATGAGGATGAGACCAGATTTGGCCACAAACTTAACTGAGCGGCCTCGCTCCTGAATCATTTCATATTATTTATTTTATTCAGACCGCAGACAGGCGAGTAGGGGTCTCTGCAGACCAGGAGGCATTTCCAAAGGAAGGTGGTTCTTAAGAGACACACCTGATTGGACGAGCAAAAATAGGCATTACTGAAGCACACCACCTGATTGGATGATCGTTGCTTCGGCGTTTCTCTATATTATTAGCTTACTTTCTACCCTAGCATCGGACTTTCATATTTATTTTCATTACATTTAGTTTTACAAACTTGCAGCTGTTACCGTGGTAAATAGAAGACTTGGAGATAATAACAGCTGGCAGGTTAGCTGCTGGTATTTTATGTTTATATGAAGACGCAGACAGTGTCAGACCCATGTCTTCATTATTTCCACTTCTCTTAAAGAGCTCCAAGTTGCATTTCAAAATAAGAGCAACATCAGTCTGTAGTGTTTTTTTATTTTATCTTTTGAGACATTTAGAAATATGGAGAACTAAATGTTTGGTTTTAATGATACTTTGTGGTTTCATTAAAAAACAAACAGTTTTTGTTGCTAAAATTTATGTGAAAATAATTAAAGTCAAAAGTGAAAGAAAAACAAATGAAAAGAACCAAGAAAAACAGAGCAAACACAACTAGCCAATCAGTGTTTAYGCTTCAGACACGCCTACTTTGAGTCTGCAGAGAACCCCTTCTCTAGAAAGGAGGTCCAGGTTTTCACATGGTGCCAACATTTGAATATGAAATTAAAAATCTGGTCAAGAGCCAAATATTTTTCAGTATTCAAAACAACAACAATAAGAAATGTTTAGGTTTTTTATGTCAAAATATTGACACACAAATATAACATTTCCTTTTCTTAAAACATTTTATATCGTTCAGATCGAAAAGTTAACTGGAATTGTTTTAATTTAAAACACTTATTTATTTTAATCACTTTTCGTCACTGGTTTCTCATGTAAACATTTAATGACCTGAAAAACAGCTAAAAAATATCCTCAAAGTTCAAACAGCTGAAATGTTTCACCTTAAAATCATGAAAAAACAAACAGATAATCTGGATCTAATGAATTCAGGGAGCTGTAAAACTATAAATGAGTTTGAGTCGTGGAAACTCAGGACGTTAGAGCCAAACTCTTGAGTTTTTTTAAGTTTTCATCATAGAGAAACTTTAAAGGTTAAATTAAAGATGGGGGGGGGGGTTCTCACCTGTCATCTTGAAAAGCAAACAAAGGAAACCAATAAAATAAATATTTGTTTTACATTTATTTTCTTATATTTATATCTTCCAGTTATTGCGGTCAGATGAACCGTTTGCTCAGATTTAAACAGTTTTCATCTTCGTCTTGTTCAGAGTAAATCTGTCTAAAGACCCTGTTTTATCAGAAAACTCACCAGTTTTCTGTTTTTATCAAGTTTTTTTAATTACCTGTGACGTTCATATCTATGAAATACAGAAAACCAAAGAAAATTTATTTATATTTAAGAAAATTTGCGAAAACACATGATTTTATCCGTTATGTCACATAATTGGGATATTTCTTTTGAATTTGGCTCAACTAAAGAGAAACAGGAAGTGACATCAAAGGGGAACTCTTGAAAACTTCCTGGTTTTTGTTTATTGAAACAATATTTGAAATCTGACTCTTATTTCTCTATGATAGTGATTAAAATAATCTTTAGAAACATCAGATTCTTCTCTACAGTCTGTCAGACATTTTAGCAACACTGTTTACATTCAGACATTCCCTTATGACATCACTTCCTATTACTTCACAGGCAAATGTTGTCGATGTTATTTTTCCAAAAATACATTCATATTTATTACAAAAATTTGACGTCACAGGCACTTTAAGAACTGGAACTTTCTGTAAGTTGATGAAACCTTCACCGTCCACGGCCCGGTACTGTTCATTGTTCTCTGAACACATTTAAACATCTGTTCGGGTCAAACCTTGTGGACCCCCTGCAGCTGCAGAGGACCGGGGGGGTTTGTAAGGTTTGAGACTCTTAACAGACGGTGGTCCTGAGTGGTCCTGAGTGGTCCTGGGTCAGAGAGGAAACGGTTCCAACAGATTTGTTATCCAAACATGAAGCTGAGCAGTGAAACCTGTAGGATGTGACTCTGATGGAATCGTTCAGTTTCTGCCTGTAAAATAAATAAAACAGTTTTCTGTTCTTCTGCAGCGTCTCTCTGTGATTAAAGCTGAATTAAATGTTTAAATGATCTGAACTCTTCAGGTTTTTATTAAACAGTTTAACATGAAGACTTTAATCAGTGATGCGTTCAAGGTCAGTAGGAACATTCTGGTTTGTGAAACGTCATAAATTACAGGTAAAACACAACCTGCAGGTTTCTTACTTACTCGGTTTTCTTCCTGCAGGAAGTGGTCTTTGATCCGGTCCGAGGTTGGTTCTGGTCCTCGTCTCTGCCCGTCCTGTCGGGGTCTGACCTGGGGGGCTCTAGGACCCAGAGCGGAGCAGCTGGCAGCAGCAGTAAATATAGCAGCAGAGKGGGGTGTGGATCAGAACAGCTGGGGGTCCTGAGCAGGTCTGAGCGGACTGGGTCAGTCTGAGTCTTCAGTTCTCTGTCAGCAGGACCCGACAGGAAGACGAGACCTCTGAGGAGAACCCAACAGGTGAAGGAGACTGAGGTCAGAGGGTTCAACACACCTGTGTGTGTGTGTGTGTGTGTGTGTGTGTGTGTGTGTGTGTGTGTGTGTGTGT